CAAAATATAAATTCTCTCAATTGTCCATACCGTATGCCCCTCCAACCAAAAGGTTAAGAGTTGCTAGAAGTCCATTTCTTCCATATTTCAGTCCTTTTTTCTTTCACATGCAGACTAATTATAAACAAAACTCAGAACTTCCTATCAAAGGCATCACGTGATCAAGTGAAGACCCAATCGGTGACGTCTCCATATGACATTGTTACAATATTTTCCCAAATTATGTACATATTAATCGAAAAATACACAAAGATATGAAATAGATATTAAAAGTAAAAACATATTCATATTCACAAAATAAAATAAATTCACACAGAAAAAATGCTTATGTAACAGCGTTAGCTACAGTCCCATCTCCTGGTTTGTGTTTTCTGAACCATCTTATTCTTTGTTGGCATCTTCTGGGTGTATTTCCTGGCTGGTTGTTGGCTCTACTGCTCTTTATCCTCAGTAATCACCCGTCCCGGTGCTTAATCTCTACTTTCTATCGCTCTTTGTGGAGGCCGCACCAGCTGTCACCACCAGCTCCTACCTGTTAAGAATGCTGTTGCTTCCCAGTTTAGTTTCTGGCTCTCAGCCAGCGCTGCACCTTTTCTTGTATAATAGTAAATTAATTCCTCCAACTGCTGTTTGTAACCTTTTTCTTGTTTTAGTCTACTTTTGAGATAGAAAATCCAACGTATACCACCACTTTAAAGACTTAGACATTAGACTTGGAGAGTACTTTATTGATCCCTTGGGAAGACTCCCTCAGGAAATTAAGGTTACCAGCAGCTTAAAGGGGAAAAAAAGTATTAAGTTAAAATAAATTAAGCAAAAAATAATATAAATGAACATTATAGAGTCTGAGATATAATGTTTATCATGTTTATCTATCCTAAGTTGTTCTGTATTTTTATTTTTTATTTATTATTTATTTGTTTTTCATTATATTTTCAAGTGGGATCCTTATAACATTGGAGTACTTGATTTCAAATGTATATACAGTATTTCTTAAGCTAAGTTGTACATAGGTGGAATTAGCAGGTTTAGCCTAGGTCTGTGTGTGTGTGGGGGGGTGTTATGTGTTAATGTTCTGTTTTGAATTGTTATGCAATGCAAAAAAATCTATAAATATATTGGGGAAAAATAATAATAATAATACAAAAAATACAGATTACGTACAGTGTATATAACAGGAGTTGTGTAGATAAAGATGAGATATTCACATATATCAAAACACTGAGATCCTTTTTTATGACATAGACAGTTTTTTAAATGTAGTTTGAGTTAATATTATCTTTTTAAAACATTTATTTGGAGAACGGACATGTTTTTGGATTCTCATATCCCCTATCGGCCAGATAAAGCGCTTGTCAGATAACCAAACAACCTCATAGAGGTATTTGCCACTCACTGTTACATAACCAGCACAGTCCAATGCCGTGCAAGTCATTCCTTTAAAGAAAAAAAAGAGCAAACTCATGACAAATCTACAGAGAAGGAGCTCAGAAGAAGGAAGAGGCCTAAAGGACCCTGAAACAAAGACCGATGTGTCTGGAGTTCTTCACCTCTAACTCAGAAAGTGGCTTAAACTTTTGTCACGTCTCTACCTTTAACACACATTAACTTCCTTTACACCAGACCTCAGCTGACATTACATAATTCATGACAAAATTATAAGCTACTTTTTATTCCTATGATACACGATCAACAACATGTTTTACGGCCCTGAATAAAAAAGGTCTTTTATCTTTGCCTGTAATTGCTTTATGGATCATTAATCATTGATAATGATGGAAAACTTTAAGATGTTTCCTTGAACTTTAATGCCACCCCAATCAATATTTCGGTATTACTACTAACAACAGAGAGATAAGAGTTTGTGGTCTGTAACCCAGACTAATGTTCACAAACCTGTGTATTTAGCCAAATCATTATCCAGATTCCATGTTTGTAAAACACATTTTAGCAGTAATGAACCTTAAAGTCAAACTTTTGGATACTTCTGGGGTCTGATATGTTATCTAGTACCAGAATAATTTGAAATAACCTCAGATGTTAGCATGAGACGATGTTAGCATGCTAACATGCTACAATTAGCCAAAGAGACTGATTTACTCTATGGGGATTTTTATTGTAATTTTTTGTTTAATATGTATTTAAGCCCTTCTTACACTCATAATTTTCTCTCTTTCTTTTAGAACAGAAACCATTCTTCCCTTTTCTGGAGGTTTTTCTGGGGTAAATTGTGCATTCAGCGTTATCTTGAGTCTGCACACCATGTTTATCTTTTTAAGGGATTTCCAATCCGTTAGTTAAATTGTTGTTATATTCATATGCCTGGGGTTAACAGTGCATATTCATAGTCACATTAAAGTTGAAAATATGCTGAAGATCCAGAATAAAAACAGTTAAAAACCTTCTTTTTTACAAGTATTTAGTTTTTTAACACGACATAATTTCCCAATTCCTTTTTAAAGCTTTGTGTGCTTGAGGGGTAAATTCTTCTTTCCGGCTCAGAAATGTCATTCTGTGCTTGAACTTAAATTACCCAGAACAGCCTCAAACTATCTCCGATTCTGCACAGCTTGTCCTTGTTTAGCACCACAGCTCTGAGAAGGCCTCCGGGAGGGTTTTTACCAAAGAAAACTGATAATCGGAGAGAGTGAGAAGGCTTTCGGTGAGCGGTCCCCACGGACCCAGGAGTGGTCAGAATGACTCAGAAAGCTCGCTCTTATGTCCAAGTTTCCGTTTTCACAGCTCGTGAAAGTCTGACGCACAAAGGTTCACCGAGAGGGAGACGGCTGATTTGTTCAAATCCAAAATCTATGATTCCATCTAGTTTTTGCTTTAACTTTAGCTCTGGGGCTAAATGAGGTCAGTGTACCGTGAGGCTAAACTTATCCTGCGGTGGCTCTTTTTTAGGTCGGGGTGTTTGGGTCGGGTCACGGGGTCAAACATGTCATGGAGGGGCATGTTCTGATCCTATTTTTATAAGAACCACACAACAGGTGAGATCACAACTTAAAAACAGACGCAAGAGTCTTTACTTAACCCTTTAAAGCCTGATCCGAGAATAAAACAAAACAGAAAATGTTTTTTTTTGGTTTGAAGTCTTTATTTGGCCTTTTAACAAAATATTTAAAAAGAAAAAACAGAAATATATTTTTGATATTAATAATTTATCACTACGCGATAAGTCCAGATTATTTTTTGTGTGGTCTTCTGCCCCCTGTTATCAGGTATATCTTATTGTGTACAATAGGATTTTGAGCAAAGTTTTTACCATTAAATTATGCAAAACATTTCAGAAACCGTACGTATCAAATATGATACATTTGGCATTACAGGGTTAAAGCCCAAGAGGCCCCTAAATCATTCAAATCGGAGGTTAGATCCAGGAGTGACTTTGAGCCAGGATAAAGCTGATTGTCGTCCCATTTGATCCATGGTTTGATCAAAAACACACGATTTATGCTCCTTAGAAAGATTGTGCAGCATGAATGAGATGTGGAGGTTTTTTCCTTCTGTGCTTTTATCAAAAGAGCTAACAGGCTCATAAATGAAAGTCTGTGTTGTGTGATAAGATCATCTTTGCTGTTTGGGTGGAGTGTGTGTGTGTGTGTGTGTGTGTGTGTGTGTGTGTGTGTGTGTGGGGTGCTGAGTCATGGTTTCCTGTGTTTTTTTCTGTTTTTTTACTGTGAGAACGTGCTGAAACCCTCCACAAAGCAACGAAATTCTGCCCTCCACACAGACAAGTGACCACCGAGGATTTGGGGCTTTGCAAAGATTTACTCAGGTCCCGGAGTCGCGGTTTATCTGATTAGGCCAAGCTGCCACCTCTCTGCGGACGAATGCAAACTGGGGCAGCAGACGGCAGGTGGATCTGAACCACCAACCACCAGGCTTTACGTATTTCGGGGCTTTGTTCAATAACATGAGGGGAAGAAACGATTTGGTTGGAAAATATCCAGCCTCTTCTGCTAGTATGGGAAAGTGTCCGAGGCTTTCTGTTTATGGGCGGTTTCATTATGTTTATGTTTATTTATTTAGCCGACGCTTTTATCTAAAGAGTCTTACAAAGTAGATACAGTATAACCTCTACAGATCAACTTCTTTTTTAAGGTTTTTAAGCTGAAAAAAGCTCTTGAAGTTGCCGGTTTGACTAAGAAACTTGTTCAAATTACCCCTATATTGCCAATTGTATCATATTTCATACATAGGGTTTCTGAAATGTTTTGCGTCTGACACCTTTTGCATAATTTAATGGTAAAATCTTTGCTCAAAATCCTATTGTACACAATCAGATACACCTGATAACAGGGGGCAGAAGACTACACATAAAAATAATCTTGACTTATCGCATAGTAATAAATTATTAATATAGAAAATTCATTTTTGTTTTTTCCTTTTTACATATTTTGTTAAAAGGCCAAATAAGTTAGTTCTCATTTTTCTATGATCATATCTAGTTAGCTTGTTGCTAAAATGCTAAAATCCATCTTAATTGCAAAAGTTGTGCCTCTGCAAATCCAGAAAGTGGAAATACAAATATTGAGAATGGTGCTCAATTGTACTGAAACAAAACAAACAACAAGCAGAAACAAGCAGAATGAAACCTCATCCTTTGTGACATTTTGTTTACAATTCTGTCTCTTAGCAACCTGTTGGCTTTTGTCTGGACATGGTGCAAACTCGGGTTCGGATAGGAAGAAACAAGAGCCGACTCAGAGGTTAGAAGCCCGAAAGCCCACCGAGTTAAGCCTGA